GACTGAGCTAATTGGGAAACTTTACTTACTATCCTTGAGTGTGCTCCAGGTTTGGCACCGAATGTCAGTTTCCTCGTCCGGAACTTAAACTCTAAACCTAGAATCTGCAAAGAGCCAGGGAATCGGGGCAGGTGCTTGGAAGACTTCTTGGGTCATGTTATGTTAAAAGAATAATAATTAGGGGCAAATGCTGAATAAATATATAACTGTACTGTGAGACTGCTCTCTTGGGAAAAGGTAGTTAGATAATAAGGGACAAAGTTCCTAAAAAAAAAACTGCATACCTGATTTGGATTGCCACCATATACATACAGAGATGAGAAATTGAATGTCATCTTGTCCAAGAAAGGTATTTTTTTTTTCTGTCCTTCAACCTTCATCCACACAAGTGAAGAGGAAGGAGAGCCTGCTGGATGTGGTCTGTATTTAGAGCCAATTTGGATTGTCTGGGTCCTGTAGTGAGCTCTTTCTTGTGGGAGGGTCTTTGGCAGTGGTGGGGGTGGGGAGGTTGGAGGATGAATTTGCCTCCAATTTGCTGTGCAAGGAAAGCATAGATAGTTCCCATGTCATTATTTTGCCTCTTACTAGGAGAGAATGAAACAGATCTGTCTAGCAGTTATTCTCTCTTTTTGGACAGTTTATATCCATACATTGTACTAAAAGAAATACTGCCTGTGAAACTTCTTTCATGCCTGCTATATAAATGAAAAGGATTATTCTCAATTATGCCGTTTTATTTTTTTTTAAAGGTAAATAATACGGCAGGTAGACACAGCAGGTTGCATTTAACCGACCAGTGGCACTGTCTATCCTTCAGTTATTTTCCAGTTCACTGCAAACATTTGGTTTTCTTATCAATATCATCATTATGTTCATTTACTTCCTCTCTATTACTCTCTAAGGGAATATAGCGCCAAATGACTTGTTTCTTCCAACTCTCATAGGAGTGGCTCTTGAGAATGAGGCAAGGAAGGGGTTAGCTGCCAGAAGGGAACCCTTTCCACAGTCCCTGAGTCCTTGCCGTGAGTGCTGCTTTTGTCATGGGAAGCAAAGGCTTTGCCCTTGGGAGAACCTCACCTCCTGTCTCTCTCTAGCGGAGAGCATGAGGGAAGCCTTCGGATGAAGACAGAACTACTGGTGCAGATGGATGGGCTGGCTCGCTCTGAAGACCTTGTGTTTGTTTTAGCAGCTTCTAACCTGCCCTGGTAAGACATCTAGAGAGTGCATTCTGAATACATTTCAGAATACATGTAAGTACGGATAAAGATATTATAGTGGCCACTTTGGGCAAAGCCTCCTTGTTTGGTTCCAGTCTCAGAAGATTAATCTGAAGTCTTACCTGTTCAAGTCCTCAATCCTCACTATCTGTACCATGAAAGAATCTGCCTTAACAGAAGAAACCTAGGCTAGGGCTACCACTGACAATATTTAAAATTGATATTTTGCATTTAAAAACAATTTATGTACTATGTTTAAACAGGACTTTGGCATAGAACTATAACATGCTAAAATCTCTAGGACTCAGAGACTATACCAGAAATAGTATGTTAGATTTTAACAGTATTAAAATTAAGCTTTTTTTAAGTTAGGAAGAAAATAGTTTCCTTAATGTTGCACAGTAAATAGAAAGCTAAATAATCTCTAATTGAAAATACAACCTACTCTCAGAGTCTTTTATTCAAACTGTATCCCAGAGCGGTTTAAGAAAAATTCTAGAAGGGGAATTGGGAAATAAGAGATGTTGACTAGGGAGAAACAATATCTACTTGGAGAGTATATTTTAAGAATAATTATAATCTTTTATAATTCCAAGAATATTTTCACGTTCATTATTTCTTTTGAGATACAGGTGAGACAGGAGACAGATAAGGAAATGCTGCTTTCCCATTGGCAGAGGGGGACCAAGGTCAAGGGAGGTCAATCTACCCTAAGTCAACAGCAAATTTGCAACAGGGCTCAGACTTTGACACCCTTACCTCACCCCTGCCCTTTCATTTCTGTTTCCACATGCAAAGGTGAAATGAGACTCACTTCTTTAGGACGTGCTGATCAGCTGGGCTCCTAAAGCAGAAGTCACTGAAAAGAAATCATGATGCTTATGTGTAATCTGTTATTTTAAATATATTCATAATTTAAACCTGGTTCCACCTCCCTGCAAGTTTACACATGTTCTCTAATGTGCTAAGGTGATCAGCATTCTGCATTTTGAAGATACAGGTTATTTATAGGTAATATTAAAGTGGAGTCTATTTAATTACAATTGTGGAATCCTTTAGAGAAAGAATTTCTGTTCCTTCATCCATTTGAAACAGGGTTGATCATAATACTTTACTTATGTCTCAGGGGAGAGGGTGTGAAAACAGTGAAGCTTTGTGCCTGGCTTTGAGAAGGTCTATGTCCCCAGGGAGACCTACGCCTTTTCTAGAGGATTAGAGAACCCTCTGCTGCCAATGATACCTAGGACTTGGTTGAGGAAGTTATTGTGCTGCCACTATTTCCCTAAGGTAATCAGTTTTGGTAAGCCCCAAATAAAATGGTTCAGAGAGGCAACCCCCACCCCCCGCCAAAAAAATTGCAAATAATAAAAAGTTAAATTAAATAAGCTTAGAAGGGCTTTCCTGAAAGAATTCCTCTAACATGTCAAATGGCAAATACACACATGCTTTTGAGAGTCCATCTTTCATATCACAGATTGCTTCATTACAATGTATCTTGGAACCAATATGCTCTAACCCATACATCCTTGAGCATTGCTGAGATTTTAATAAACATTTTATTATGAAAAACTCCAAACAAACACTAAAAAAGAAAAAGACACAATGAACCCACCACTTCACAGTTTCCATAACTAACAATCTTGCCCAATTGATTTCATCTATTCTTACCTCCCTTCTTTTTTGCTGAATATCTTAAATTATATCCCAGATTATTACGTTATTTCTCACATACATACTTCAGCATACATCTTTAAAAAAATAAGGGTATTTTCTTACATTCTCACAATGCCATTATCACCCCCAACAATATTAATTCCTTAATATTATCTAATACTCAGTTTATATTCAGATTTCCCATTTTGTTTCAAAAATGTCTTTTTACAACTGATTTACTAAACTAATATCCAAGCAAGATTCACCCCGGTACTCAAGCAAGGTTTGCATTTTGTAATTTATTGTTCTCTAAAGTCTCTTTTAATTTGGATCAAATTCCTTTTTTTTCCCCCCCTCACTTGCCATTGACTTGACTGTCAAGGTAATTGTCCTGTAGAATGTCTAAACTTTCTGGGTTTGGCTCATTGTATCCTCATAGTAGTATTCAGATTGTTTCTCTTACCACTATAATTACTCTAGACTAAACATTAGATTAGATTCAGGATCAGCATAATTTTTGGGCAAACATACATCATAGGTTATGCTGCGTACATCACATCGTATTGCATCCAGAGAGAGGTAATGTCCTGTTGTCCAGCTTCAGGTGAAGCCAAGATCTATCAGTGCGTTCAGGTGTACAGTTCTCATCAACGGTTTTAGCATCCATTGATGATCTTTGCCCAAATCATTATTTCACTAGGGGTGTGATTCTATGGTTCCCTCTCATTGATAACTAGAACTGCTCTCTATAATAGAACTTTCTCTTATCCAGTAAGGCTATTTAGTTACCCTGAAATATAGTTCTTACTAGACAAGCAGGATTCTTTCTTTTTGATTTTTAAAGTCATGAGTTGTACCCTAGTAACCTCCAGTGGTAACTAATGAGTCAGTCTCTCCCCAACCCACTTCCCTTTCTATATGATCTAATGACTTGTCAGATATAACCTCATCAGTTTTTTAAAGAAAATCTCTGTTGAGATATAACTCATGTACCATAAAATTTACTTATTTAAAGTATACGGTTCAATGGTTTTAACTATATTTATATGGTTGTACAACTATCACTGCAATCAATTTTAGAACATTTTTCTTTACCCCCAAAGAAACCCCATACCCATTATTAATTACTGCTCCCAGCACCAGGCAACCAGTAATCTATTTTCTGTTTCTATATATTTGCCTATTCTTGTAACTATGAGTGGAATTGTTATGGTAACTCTATGTTCAATCGTTTAAGGAACTTTTGCCTTCCTTGCTTCCTCCTTCCTTCGCCTCTTTTTCTCCCATCCCTTCCTCTCTCTCTTCCTTCCTTTCTGAACGTTTTTGTTCCTCTTTCTCTCTTTCTGCCCTTGTTAAACTTCCCATGTCTGTCATTCCTAGGCTCGGAGGCTTTCTGAAAACCCTGTGACTGGTTATTTGATGGCAATGCTGTCTCATAGAAGTATAATGTGAGGCACACATGCACTTTAAAATTTTACATTTAAAAATATAAAAAGAAACATAAAATTAATTTAAATAACATTATATTTAGCCCAACATATCCAAAATATCATTTCAATATGTAATCAATATTAAGAATATTGCGATATTTTACTTTTTTAATAGTAAATCTTTGAAATTCAGTGCAAATCCATTTTAAATTTATGGCACATTTCAATTTGGACTAGCCAAATTTCAAGGTCCAGTAGCTACAGGTGGTTGGTTGATGGCTACCATATTGGACAGTGCAGTTCCAGAGACTAATTTGCCTAATCCCATGCTGCTGTGGCAGAGATTGATTAATTGCTTCCCAATATTCCCATTACCCAACATAGAATTTTGGAGTTCTATTTCTTAGTGTCCCTGCTATTAGGTGTGGCCAAGGCCAACCTTCTTTGTTACTTGCACAAGATGACTCAGGCTTCATTTGTACATTTTGATCCAGACCTGGAATTAGCCATTGATTCACAGAGCTCTGGGTCCCTTTAATGGGAAATGATATTGAGAGAATTATAGTCTCACAATTAGAGGGGCTCCTTGCTACTGGATTACCATTAGTCCTTGACCTTTTGATTCGGCAGAGCTAGGAAATACATAGTTTTAAAAAGAGGCAAATAATAGGTTCACAATAGTATTTCCCATTCAAATTTAATTAAATTCTTTAATTTAGTTAAATTCTTTGATTTTATATTGCATATTTTCTCTAATTGTGAAAACCTTAGTCCTTAACAACATTAATATAATATTAATTTTATCATAATATGTAGATCTATTTTATATTTGTATATATAACAGAGTTTCTCAGTGATAATACCAATACTATCAGGACGGTAACATTTTGATGACGAAAATGGCACAGACCTGGCCTAACTAAGATAGAAGTGCCAATTCAAGCTTTCTCAACCTCAGCACTATTGACATTTTGGGCCAGATAACTCTTTGCTGTGGGGGGCTGTCCTGTGCACTGTAGGATGCTAGGCAGCATCCCTGGCCTCTCCCCACAAGATGCCAGTAGCACCACCTATTCCCCAGTTGTGACAACCAAAGTATATCTCCAGACATTGCTAAATGTTCTCGGGGGGTGGGGAGAATCACTCCCAGTTGAGGCTCCCTGGACTAATGATACATAATGAATATAATGTTATATAGAGATAAGCTGCCACCCGCTCCACAGCTAAACTCTCAAGGTTTTTTTTTTTTTAAAGAACTCCATAGAATAACTGAACTTGGTTTACTTACACAAAAGGAGACATATTATATAAATTGTTCTGTATCTTGATTTTTTTTTTTCCTTAACAGAATATACTGGGGATCTTTCCAAAGAAATACAGAAAATTCTTCTTTACTCCATTTATAGCTGCATATGTCCCATTTAGTGCATATGGTAACCTATCCCAATCACCTAAGGATGGGTATTTTGGTTATTCCTACTTTTTTGGTATTAAAAATAATGCTGCAATGAGTCATGGTGTGCACATATCACTTTGTGTATTTGCCAGTGTATCTTTGGGGTAGGTTCCTGGAAATAGACATGCTGGGTCAAAGGGTTAATGTGCATGAAATTATAGTAGAGATTGCCAAATTTCCCTCCTTAGAGGTTGTGCATCTTGTATTCCCACCAGTGTCCTGCTGTCATTACTTAACATTATAGTAAGAACATTTCCAATGTCATTAAATAATCCTTGAAAATTAGAAGCTGTAATGGCTGCCCTAAATTCCCACTCATGAATATACCACAATTTAGTTAATCATTTCTTTCCTGTCGAACATGTATGATGCTCCCAGCTTTCCTCTATTATAAATAATACTGAAACAAACTTCCTTGAAATAAATCTTTGACCAAAATCTGGTTGTTT